GAAGCAGATGGGTATATACAGGGAAAATAAGTTATAAGGTAAGCGAAAAAAGTTAGTCGGCTATTAGTTACTGAAAAGTTTAACTATATTACAGAAACGACGACAACTATACGAACGCTATACGAAGCCGCCATGTTAACCACTTTTTCTCTCCATTATCTTTTTATACGATTACGAGCTACGTGTTATTTTAGCCATCTTCAAGTAATATGCAGCCGGTGGCCGATCCCGACAGAAATTGTTGGTTATGAGTAACGTCGATCTGGCTTACTCCTCGCTCAAGAAGAACTATGTATTATGCATATAATCAATATGGTAAGAAACAGCTTTCCAAAGATACCGTTAATATGCTAGTATTGACAAAGCGTCGACTACGAAGCAGCACCTCCTAACAGATGACAAGGTAAGGCAACACTTATGAATTGAGATGCCCCCCGTCACGAAGATCTGCCGCGAAAAATTCAAACCTCTGAAAGCACTGGACGAGAAGGTAAAAGAGGGGTGAGAAGTAAAAAGAAAAAGGTACTGCGCGAACCAAAACAAGATTATGACTACTAAAAGAAAAAAAGCATATACTTGTTACCATTGAAAAGGCAGATATTCTCCACCCGCAGAAATTTCTACCTGCTACCTATAGCTCGCTATCACTGGTCGACAATGACTGACGTTCTCTTCGAAAGAATATGTAGTGGTAACCGCTGTCAAGACTGGTGCCGAAGCGGTCAGTATGATTATGTGAGAATCGAAAAGCGACCGCAGGAAGACGACGATGTGGTTCCAGCAATTTTTCTACTGAGGTGACAAAAGACGCCCATGATCGTTGTTTACGAAGCAGAACTTTTCGAGCAGCCACACGCTAGAATGGCTATTCCGTCACGACCTGGACGATACAATTTACACTGTGTATGAAAATACGGTTCGAGGCAACTACCGGACAACGAATAAACACAAAGTATATGTCCGCTAATGCTGGTATTGTTATTACTATGCGGTTGACAGCATGTAGAGCCGCATGTGCCATTAGCGTCATTAGACCGATAACAAAAAGTATTCGCAGGAAATATACCAGATTGCAATTACGATACTAACTACAATCACGTTATTACATAGAATATATACGTAATTGACAAAAGTAAAAGCACGGATGGATGCTTCGCTAATAGCGAAGCATACTGTATGGATACCACGTAAAATGCACGTTTTATACAATGACATTGGTAAGAGTAAAAGTACGACACGGAGCAGAGGATTTCATGGCACATTATTGTTTATTCTTTTCTTTATTTTGCCTAGCATTCAAATGCTCGGGGCGGCATTGACGAGGTAACCAATCAGTAGCTCTTACACTCCATATACACTCGGTAAACTGGTCAATCAGACATCACTGCAATCAGTATGTCCCACCATGGTCACTATTAGATCGTACAGGCAGCGTACCCGGTATGGACAATTTATATTTACCCTTCACAAGGTTGCAAGTTACGTTAGCTCTGTATGTCAGGCATGCTGAACATCCGAGTTACTAATGTATGCATATCCATGTTTCTTAATCCCCCCGTCCTTGATCGTACTCAACACACATTTCGACTTTGGACTGTGTAGAAATCACAGCCTCTTGAATATTGTTGTTTTTCAAGCTTCTGCTGTGTAGATCATGCCGACAGCGCACCAAAGTAAACTTCTAGGAGTGCGTCATTTAGACCGGCCGAAGCTGCTTAATGCGTCGTCGTATTGCACTAACTAGCTAAGCCGCGCGTAGAAGACGTATGTTTGCGGTATAACGACTATACTAGGCAACTTCTATTCAAGTTAGACGTTGACTCGTTCAATGTAACAAGGTGTTCAAAGAGGCCGATGCCGCTGTCGCCGCCGCCGCCGCCGCTGCTGCTGTGGTGATGGCCGTAACATGACTCGAAGTTTTGATGATTCGGTGGGTGCTTACCGACTATGGATCAGATGAATAACTCGTGGCCAACTAAGACCTGGCAGACTTGACTACTACTAAGAACCTTGCCTTACGTATCCTCTACAGTCGAGCTGAATTACGTTGAGTGTGTTGTGATAGTGGAGGAAGAGGGTCACACTGTGGAAATCATCTTTCAAGGCTACTATATATGGCTAATAACATGATTAGGTACAAAACGACCCTCTCAAAATTGTTATATAATTTGTATTATCGTGTAGACGTAACTCAAAGAGAAATATTTCTTTTTAATTTAAGACGGAAATTTTTTTTAAATAGCTTAAAGGTATAATGCCTTGTATACGTCCATTATAATTGTATTACATGGCTGTGCAAATTTGTTCTGCTTCGTAGGCCATCGGATATATGTCACAACATGGTTCCAATGAATAGTAGCACAAGCTACTATCGCGAATTATGCAAACATAACAAACGAATGCCCTAGAAATTGGTCTATGTCCCAGCGAAATTGATTATATTTCTGAGCCTATGGATCTTTCCAGGAACAACTTACGGTCACTGCAACCATAGTGCATAGACATCAAGATGAAAACTGGACAACACCTTTGAATAATTCAAACAATAATAATAAGTACACCTTCAGATGTGCACACGTAAACGGGCCTGCTCTAAATACTGTGGTTCCAGATGGTCAGACATAACGATGTTGCTTAAAATGTAGAAAAGGCGCGCTAGCCGGAAATCATTTGCTTTGGTAGAAGTTGTGTGAAGGTTGAAAGCAAATCCCGGTGGCCGGCTTAGCGATAAAGTCTCTGCGGTAGTCTTCGAGACGTTTCCAGCGGCCACTATGAATGCGGCAGTCGCCGAACATTGTAAAAGGTGCAAGTGGCAACGATGATAAGAGAAAAAAGTTTACAAGTAAACTTCAGCTAGAGGAACAGCTTTCAGAAGTTACTTTTACGGAAGTTATTTAGAATTTCTTTCCGTTTATGAAAGCATCCTAATTTATAAAATCTAACTTCGTATCCCGTGGTTAAGCGTTGCGTCTCCAGTCAGTGTGAGCTGGATGTAGATCGTTATTAGATTCTAGAATCACTGCAAATCCTTAATCAATATTAATTAGTGAACGAATTTTAGTAGGTTGTAACTGTTTGGCGTAGGATGTAAATGTATTACACTTCACCCTGTGGTACGTTGTACTGACACTTTGTGAAAATGACTCTGATCTAGGTAAGCGATTGCTTACGAGTTAAAGAATCGCCAACAAACAGTAAATCAGACTTTGTATCCAATAGACGCTATAGCTTTATACAAACGACAGATTCATTCGAAATTAATTCATATATTTACTATGTATTGAGATCTTCTTGAAACAAGCATATTCCAAGTACCAAATGAGTTTGGTTGTGGACAATTTTACATTTGAGTCTTCATTTAAACAACTCGGGAATTCGCTGAAGTGCAGTATAGCTTCAACGCATCCAGGCTTCATTTAAGCAGTTAAACTTGACGTCTACAGCCCTCAGATAACTAACGCGATTTTCACAACTGACAACCCCACTATTCAAAAATAACGTCCCCTCTAGTTGACAGCACCCCGAGTAACCGGCGATTCATAGCTCGGCTTATCATTTCAAGATCAGTAAAATGTAAGTGTTATTTGGTATATAGCTATACACTAATTACTACCCTTTACACTAAGAATTAAATATGCTTCAAATAGTGATGCTTCGTGAGTGTAGCAACAAAGCGAAGACTAATTTGGCCCATCCGGTTGTCATGCACACATTTGCAGGTAACCCTTAATCGTTGCTAAGCAGAACAAAAAAAAATACGGTTTCAGCTGTTTTCAATGAACTTGAATACAAAAACACACTGAAAATCAAGTTCACCAGTAAAACGTCAACCGCTGAGGTATCAACGAATAAACGTAAGCCTCTCTTTAGATTCTAGGTTCTCGACTTCGGGCAATTATGAAACGCCTGCTTCAAAGACAACTTTAGTTAAGTAAAACTTCTGTACTCAAGATGTTATCAGGCTTGCACTCAGAGATCATGCACTGATATAATCAGATACTTAAATCCATGATTAATTTCATTCTTGACGACATTTATAGAACAGAGCAGTAGACTAGAGCGGATGATCCTGCTGATAACGGTGAATGATAGAACACTTAATTCGCCGTGTCTTTATAGCTCAGTTTTAAAAAACACCAAACGAATGTAAAAAAGCGGCGGTATAACAAAGACTGCCTTCGCTTTGCTGCGTGCAGCCTTTGAGCAGGCACTTTTTTTTTAGAACAAAAACGGCTTCGCGATTTTGTCATGCTGTCGTACCCCGCCACTAGAAGAAATGTTATGCCGAACATTAGCTAGTGTCTCGTTTTAATACAAATCGTTTTAGAGAAATTACTACTTTTTGATGCAGATACGCTTCCTTTTATACAAGGTATAATTTCGATAGTTGTTTCTCAATAAAAATTGTTTGAACAAATTTTGAACGTATATATATATATATATATATATATACTGCAATTCGTTGTATTCAGTTGTGTTTTTTTCTTTATCAGATTAACTCTATTTGTGTAAGCCCTTTAATTTGATAGAACTTCATCAGTGTCATTTTGATCATCCTCACGCCGAAAAAATGTATGACCGCAAAATGAAATACATCTTTTGCCAGAAAACGTATTCGCTTCCGTGAGACGTTGCCCCGTCCCAATAAAATAGATGAAGTTCCGATCTGATTTAGTTAACACAGCTTTGTTGATAGAGTAGCAGCTAAAAAATATTGCGACGCCATCACATGGTAATTTCGATCCACAACTTCTGTTCGAATACCAACTTACCACCTACTGAAATTTAAATTTCCGGACAAATTCAACCCCGTTCGTTATTCAGATCAACTCCTAGTTTCTGCCTTTCTGCACACACCGGCATCAGAGGCCGAATTTAGCTTAGGCAGCGCTTGCCGCCATAATCCATTGAAACAACGAGCATCAAGACGTTCTATCTTATGCGAGCCAGGTGTTTAACCCAATTGCATACACATAAATATATATAATTCTCGAACTCACCTTATTTTATGTAGTCAAAATGTAAACGGCTCGCACATTCCAGTGAGATGTTTCAGAGTATTTCCCCGGTACTCTTTACCTGTTTTCGATGGTGTATGTCTCGCGTAACACAATAATCCGAGCCAAACTGAGGTAAACAGCACCATAAAAAAAAGAGCAAGCATACAAGCCCAAAATCAACAAACTTCTGACTAACTTTACTTTTTACTTAAGACGAACGAATCCCTCTCCGTCCTCGCACCAGCAAGAATACACTTCTTCAGCGTATTGGCCACACTTCCCCCAATTCGACGTGCAACTTTTTTTTTTTTCTCAACGGGACAGACAAACAAACACACACCCCACACAGCTGAGGATAGCGCTTTCTTCACACCTGCGCTACCTTATCCGCCGTCCAGCTCGATATCCGGATCTTACACATACACCAACTTGTGGATCACACAAAATTTTTTGTCGCTGTCTCCGCCAGCCAGTAGATGCTGGAGCAACAAAACAACACGAGCTGCCACAGTTGTGGCAGCCGTTACGACCACTTTTGTCTTTAGGTTCTGCCTGTTCTTGCTGTCTAACTCTTCATGAACCGAGTAATACTCTGGTTTTGTCTCGTCCACTCAGCAGCACTTCTCTGACTCGCTATCTGCGGCGCTACACGGCGACGTACTATTTCCAGCACGCAGCAGTACCCGCCGCTGTCGATCTGTCAGCCGCTGATTGCTCTGAACGACTGATGCCCGCTCCACCATCGGCCATCATCGGTTCGTCCCTTTGCTGCTTCTGCTCAGAAAGCAAGCTAACATCTGATTGACAGCGGCTTGTTTGAGGGCTAGGGGCTAGATACGGCCTCGCTAGCACCGTGGATGAGCGGAATAAGGTTTTAGCAAAATTTGCTCATATAAAAATAATATAGTTGACGGAATTTGGATGTTTAAATAGAAAGAAGCTGAATGTCCCGTTCAATATATAGACTCATATAGGCAGAGACCTTAGACGGGGTGAGGTGTGTATGTGAGAGGTGTTCTGCTATGGCCTATGTGGGCTTTGTGGTTGAGCCTTCGTATCGTCAGATCTATTCGTAGGTTGGTACGCAAGTGAATGAGCAGGGTATGAGAAAGGAACACCTACCATAAGAGATTTGTTGTTAAAATGTTATTAGCTGTTTATCATTGCGAGCTATTAATGCTATTGGCGAGATTAAATACGTGCAGTTATTATGCAGAGACCACGTTAATTATACGACCCTCATTTCATTTGGCTTAAACTTTTTTTCGCACTTTTCGGCGTAACGTCGCGTTGATAGAAGCCCATCCACTTACTTCATTTAGCTCAACTCACATGTGGCATCTAGCTGTGTGGAACGTTTCTCTCAATGGTCTTGCCTCAGCTGGTCTTGCCATTGCAACTGTCTGGGGTTTCCCTTCCCCTCGAACAACACGAAGAAGGCGACGGATAAAGTAGCGGCCGGACCGCTAAAGGAGCAATCGCTCGTGCTAGAGTTTCTAGGTGCGTTAACAAGCATTTCTGCTCCACCGAAGTTGACGCTCCTCGACATAGTTTTTTTTCGTCCTTCTTAATGGTTGTTCCGGCAAAAAGCAAGCAGATACATGCCAGTGCCGAATTTGGTGTTATCTTTTAAAACGGTTACGACAAAAGCCAGCCGCGGTCTCTCAGTGAAACAGACTCATAGCCAAGGGCTCAAAGCCCGGCCCTCGAGGTAGGTAGCCAACTCACTACTGTGTGTTGTCGTTGAGCTTCTGTTTATACACGAGCCGCCTCTCTCTATGTGAGGGGTTGCAGTAGTAGCCTGATAGATTTGTACTGCCGATTGCCGAGTGGTGGAGTCTGAGTGGAGTGGGCCGGCTTATAGCGGTTGGTTTCGAAACGACACGTCGACTTAGCGTTGTTGACAGAGTCGGGGATAATAATGATGGACTTCGACGGGTCGATGAACAACGATTACAAATAGTATCTACTCGGAAAATACTAACTCGCATTTGTGTCGTCTTCTAGTATCCGAAATGTGTGATCTCTGCTTAATCCAGGCAATAAGTGCGGTAAAAACATTTCGAAAATAAATTTAACACCTATTATTAGAGGCCGTCAACCGTCAGCTGGAGAAGGTAGGACAATCATTCAAAGTTAGGCGTACAAACGAGTCAGTGAACTCACTACATATAAACTATAGTGCATATAAAATGAAGCTATTTTATATCGGCGGATCTGTACATGCTTCGCAATACACAAAAATAAAACAAATTCTCGCTTAGTGTGAACAAGAGTATGAGATTTCTGCGAGTTCAGCTTGTTGGGAACAGTTAAATTGGTGACAGAGGTGGGCTAAGGGGCTGGGGGTGTTAAGGTACCCTCATGGTAGACGCTTCAAGTTACGCTGCACGACGTATGGCCAACCTGCAACGTTTTTGTTTATAGACACGAAGAAAACAAATGGCTTCTTTTAAGTGGATTGTAAATGCCATTCAATTTCACGCATTCATAATATGCACTAAAAGTCCCTCTTTACCAGTGTTATTTTCATTTCTAAAACGATCGTTCTTATTACATTTTTCGCTACAGGTTCGCGCTATTCGGTCATGAAGTACTGGCATTATCCAAAAAGTGTGATTGGCTTACAAAACAACGGGAGGTTCTTTATAGAATATTTTCACTTGTAGTCGATCAATAACGCGTTTGAACTTCGCATAAATTTTGGTACATGCCGTACGGTGTATCAGTATGGCAAAATACAATAATTTACAAGTTTTATTTACAAATTTGTAAGTCTTCCTTAGTGTGTACCGAAGTAGATTAAAGCGGGAAATTTTCGCGTCGTCCTTAGCGTTACTTGTTGAATAGACATCTGCTTTGGTCACGACTGCGAGTTATTTGATTGATTGATTTTTATTGTTCCAGCTATACTTAGCCTATTTTCTTTTCGTTCGCAAAAGGTGACACTTCGATTTGTCTTCCTTCTCAGCTACTACAACATGAAAAGGTTGAAAGGGGTAGTTGATTTACAATGTAACGTCAAATGCCTCATACGCCTGTCAATAATACGCCTTTTCAGTTTGTCTTTAAAACGCTTATAGGCTACGGTCAGGCTAGCTGAGAGGCCAGAATAATACTCAGGAAGTCAATCGAAGGCTTATTTTACGGAGCGAGTCTGATTAGGTGGCCGATATTACATACTGGTGATATGGCACAGGTTTCGTGGGGTGAAATGTCTTGAAAAGTTTAATATTGTTAACGGTTAAGTTGGACAGTATTTACATATGAAAAACTGCTTCGACAGCACGGGAATTTTCAGAGTATTGGTTATCGCCTTTAAATTTAAATTTCGATTTAAATTAAATGTTTTCTCGTAGCTCATATATGGTTGGTTTTGATGATCCTATTCGAGGCGCTTATTTAGAGCTTTCACTTGTACAGCTCCGGATTTTACTGGTTATTGATTTTCATAAATGCTATTTTGATCAGCATTCACCATTGTCATAAGCTATTCAGTACTACTCATGTTCCTGTCCTTACATTGCCGAAAAATGAATTTATAGATTAGTAATACTACACATACTTAATAATACCCCACAATAATGAAAGCCACCATCCTTATACTTGGTGTTTTATATATAATAATTATAAGGATCTTAATTCTTACTCTCAAAATGCTTCATAGAACACCTATAGAATGTTTCAACAACGTAAGTGTAAATATTCGTGCGGTGCGTCTCATGTTTAACCCGCGAACAGGTTTGTGTAGTAGATAGCATGTATTTGTGTAACTGACGCTGGTAGTAGTCTAGTATTTAGCTAGGCTTCTAGTGTAAAGTCTGTTTCGGTAAGCGTGTTCATTTTATGACTTGCAAGGTCCTATCATGCCAATAATGAATACAGAAATCGCACACTGGACGCTCATCCGTCTTTGTTTGCTTGTTTCATGTTTCGGGATTTCAGGTGGCACCAACAGCCGCCGCCAAGTAATTCCCCTTGGAACATCCCTTGTCTCGTTTTGCTCTGTCGTACGAAGGCGCCAAGATGCGGTTGATCCTTCTCGCGCTAGCGTGGGTCCTCTTAGCTTCTGAAGTGTTAGCAGGGCGGGACTTTTATAAGATTCTCGGCGTGTCAAGGAACGCAAATGTGAATCAGATCAAGAAAGCGTACCGGAAACTCGCCAAAGAGTTGCATCCGGACAAGAATAAGAACGATCCCAACGCTCAGGACAAGTTTCAGGATTTGGGCGCTGCGTACGAAGTGCTCGTCGATGCCGATAAACGAAAACAGTACGACCGCTATGGGGAAGAGGGTACGTAGAATTTAGGAAAGAAATCATGCAGCTTTTGGGGACTGTTATAACTTCTTGATTATAAGCGTGTTGAAAATAATCAAAACCCAATAGCTTCGTTCAAGAGTGGTGTCACGCCTTTTGAGAATTTACAACGCACGTATGCCCTATAAAGGTTTTTCTCATTCTACCACTTTCGTCACGTCGGCGATGTTATTCAACATCAACGTTATTTTTTGAAATAGTAATGATAATTGAGATCGTATAGTTGACGTACATATACATAGATATGAGCTTTATTCACCTCTGTTATGTAGACGTTGCGACCGCACAAAGATAAGGGTATGAAAACAGGCTACACTAGCGACACAAATCTGTGAATCTTGAATATAAAGTCTAATAATAATAAAAATAATATAGAACAACATAAACCTCGTCGAGGATTACCTGTAAAGTTCTCAGCAAAAGAACTAATTCAACTTAGCAACCTAACAATCAATTATCATCGTTTATATGGACTGACCTGTATTCTATTAAACGCGACAGGTCTCAAAGATGTCGGCCGGGGAGGTGGAGATCCATTTGCATCATTTTTTGGTGACTTCGGTTTTGGATTTGGCGGTGATGAACGAGGACAACGGGAAACTCCAAAAGGAAGTGACGTTGTTATGGACCTCCTTGTAACACTGGAGGAGCTTTATAACGGTATGTAAACCAGTGGATATGTAAGCTTGTATTAATGCTAACAGAAATAAACACTCTTACTCGCTATTCTAAGAAGAAATATCTAGAAATGAAGAATAAATAAGAAACAATTGTTAACTTAAGCACGCTCTTTCCCTAGTCTGTTTCTAACGTGCTTTCTTGCTATCAATTTAGTCGTATAATTGTATTTTTGTATTGATGGGCATTACGTTATTCTATCGCATACTAGAAAATCATCGGCACATACCAAACGTATGTATTTATTTGGGCCCATAAGGTCCATAAGCTCCTCATGGGGCTCAAGTTCAACACCATTTTGAAATGACCAACAATACGCCACTGCTACAAGAACTTTTTTCATTACCGTCTGATTATTAGGAAACTTCGTGGAAGTGGTCCGAAAGAAGCCTGTATACAAGCAGAGTTCAGGAACGCGGAAATGTAACTGTCGAATGGAGATGGTCACTAGATCACTTGGCCCTGGAAGGTAAACTATCTACATTGTTAATCTGTGTGCATACTGTAGACACGTATATAAGTATGACAGAAAAGGATTAGTCTCCATTTCGGCGTTGTTGAAAAAAACGATAGTTTAGCGTAAAGGATGTCGTTTTTTTATTAAGGATGTCGTTTTTTTATTTGCTTGTCACTATTATTATTATATATTATCCTTACATGCGCTTCTCAAACACAAGATACATACGAAAAAGGTCATAGTGCATGCATGCTATATAGGTTATGTTACGACTAGACCGTACTACAGTGTTCACCTAATAATTTACAATGAAGAAGATCGAAACTTACGTCTTTGCTGTACGTGCCCACAGGTTCCAGATGCTACAGCAGCAGGTTTGCGAAGAATGTCCGAATCTCAGTTTGACAACGGAAGAGCGTGTGCTGGAAGTAGAGATCGAAGTTGGTATGAAGGATGGCCAAGAGCAGGTGTTCACAGCTGAGGGAGAGCCTCATATTGATGGAGATCCGGGCGACCTCAAAATGCGTATTCGCACCGTACCACATCCTGTCTTCCAACGCAAAGTGAGATCATGATCGGATGAATGATTTCTTTGAAAATTTATTGAAATGGAATTAGAAAATTTCAAGTTTTGCTTTTTGAAATCGAGAAACAAACGATGATTTACGTTGCTGTTTATAGAAAGCTACTTAAAAATATCAAAATTAAAACGGGTTTGTACGTGCTCGTTTAAGGCGAAAATTGCTACTGTTAGCTAACAGATTGTTTATTAATGCAGCTATGTAAAGATCAAAGGTTGTACCCGAATAGCCTAAGCAGAAAATTGTAGGTTTGTCCCTCCATGTCCATATACATGACTTGTCACTAAGTCAAGATGGCAATATTTTTATCATCTTTATGTTTATAGGGTGATGACCTATACACGAACGTGACAGTATCACTAATGGACGCGCTGGTCGGCTTTGAAACCGAGATCACACATCTGGATGGACATAAAGTGAAGATCGTTCGTGACGGAGTCACGTGGCCAGGCGCTAGGATGCGTAAACTCAATGAGGGCATGCCAAATTATTTGGATAACTTAAAGAAAGGAGTACTCTACGTGACCTTTGATGTAGCATTCCCGAAGGGACCGTTTGATGACGACCAGAAAGAAGGTAGGTTGATTTTGTTGCAATAGGCCTTCGATCTTATCAAGGCCGCTGCCGCCGCCGCGCTTTCTAACCCAAAACACTGAAATTCTAAATATCAACTCAACATCTAAGGGACGATACGTCTTTGGCTAGGTCCAACATTTTCCCGTCTATCTATCTAAGAACTGACGTTAGTACACGATGAACGCTCGATTTACATTACCTTTAAAAGGATGCTGCACGGTGCTCATAAACTTCACCTCGCCCATTTTTGTCTTAATTTTCAGCTCTTAGAAAATTATTGGAGCAAGCTCACACTCAACCTAAGGTCTACAACGGGATTGGATACTAGGTCATCTTTATCATGAAGCCATACGAGGTCGAGAGGTCTTAATGGTTATCCGCAGTTCCTTTCCTTGTCTCAAGCTTGCAGTTTCTACGGATGGACAACGTGACCGACATAGTGAAATTTAAATGAATGGCAATGTAGAAACGCACGCGGTAACTTTAAGTCGCTCGATCCTCCGCCTTTTTCTAGGCTCGTCTCAGCCTAGCGTCGGTCTTGGCCCCCGCTGTACATACGATATATATATATATATATATATATATATATATATATATATATACTAGTGCGATAATTTATTGATTATTAATTATTGATTAACGAGTGAAAGCGATTGACAGTCGCAGGAATTTTCAATGGTACGTGTAAATAAAGTAACAAATAGTTTGAGGTTTATCGTACTTGTGTTATTAATGTGGTAACACGGCAGAAGGGAAAAACGCTGATGTAAAAGCCATGCTACATATAAATTAAGAAGTACAATGTAAAAACTAAATTCGTTAAGCATTGAGTAATAAAAATTGATAGAAAAAGAAACGATAAATGGTATACCGGCTAAGATTAGACCAGGAGAGTCAATTGAATGGGCGAATTACCCGGGTCTGAGTACGGATCGCACTCATAAGAAGGGATGCAAATTAACTAAATATACATGCCTGTAAAATTTCGAGTAGTATGCGAATTGAATTTTATATAATCTTCGTAGTAATAATACTATACTACGTATGTTGTGTTCATAGGCTATGACCATAGAGGTAGTAGTTGACGGTGTAGATTTTACGAAACTTTTTTTTAAAATTACTGAATTCCTTTAGATTGGTATTATAGTTTTGAGAAAAAGCGCATATATAACAATTAATTTATTCGAGGTAACAAATATTTTTGAATTCTTGTACACCTCTACAAAGTGGAATCTCTATGTTATGAAATAGATTAAGAACAATGAACATGCATTTATTTTTATCTTACATGCTATGTACCGTTTTCTGCTACAATCCTGAGTCTACAGAGTCGAACTGAAATGGTAAGCTTATCTGAATCAAAGAAAATCTTAACCTATAATGATTATCTTAATGTTAAAATGTTAATGAAAATAGCATATATTTAAACTGATTTCTGGTAAAGTTGTCAATAGTCATATAAAAATAACGTCGACCTAATATTGCACTATTTTTATTGCTATTTTTGCTACTATGTTTCTTTATGTGAACTGCAAAACCTAAGATTCGAGTGCCGCTCGCTATTGAGAAGATTGTATAATGGTATATTGTTTAATATATGACGCCAGCCAAACCCAATAGCGTTGTCCACAGTAGAAGAAGTACCAAAATTAGCAGGTGGAAAAAGACATACCAGACGGAACACTGGGAATATACACGTTTGTAATGAGTAAAGATGATAGTTTTGTCTGATAATGACGACATCGATTGAGTTTCTCTCCCGTTTCATCCATTTTACCCCCAAATTTCTGTGAAGTGAATACATTTTCATTAACGGAACGTTATTTGTCGTATGCATTATTATGATCTTTCGTTATGAACATTTCGCGTTGGCTCGTTGTTCGATCGGTGACTGCCCTTATCCGTGGCCTTCTTTCTGTCCGTCTTCGGTAAGCCAACGATGGTTCGTTTTCACTCGCTATGTTAATGCAGTAGATTTTTATCATGTAACCAGCGTCAGTGATTATACCAGTGCAGTAACCTGCGCTTAGCCTGTTGAAACCGGCGGCCTGATTCCGAAAATCGGTAACACTAATGGAGATCGAAGGAAAGGGCAGGTGATTCGGTGAAAGACTGCAATGAAGTTAATCTTTAAGTCATTCATGAGTGAAGCTATTGAAGGAGAGATACAGCTATGTATAGTGTCGCCATTTACGTCACACAGTTTCAATCAATTACTGCCTGTGGGCGAAAACATTTTAAGAAAATGAAGGATGTAATTCCAATGCAATTAAATTTAGCCATTTAATTATCGTTTTTTTAAGGAGTTGATTTGGAAAAGTTATCTTCGGAAAGGATCTATCTACTTTGCAAAGAATTACGTATTTGGTAAAGAGGCCAGTTTCAGCTGGTCATATGTTCATCACGTGTAAAAAATGCTTGTTCTGTATTTGATTATTTTAAAGGTGACTACGGTTATCTCGAAGCACACATCGTATAAAATTTAATTTACACTTTATTTTTTACTCGAATGTGTGTTAGCTCTTCTACTTCTGGAATTACACATTTGATGAACAAGAGAAAAATGCTTGTAGAATTCGCGTATTTCAATAGTCGTTTCAAACGTGTCTTATATATATATATGGGTGTCAATATAACAAGTAGATTTAATAGATTCTTTTTCAACAGAAGATTTAATTCTGCGCCGAGAGAAGCTCGGCCTTTATAGGAGCTTTCGTTACAGCTCATCAAGAAAACAAGTCTGTGATTTCCTATGATACCGAGAACAATGGCCTCTCATAGCAGTCTCCACTATCTTAGCTTCCACGATAAATGATTTGTCACATTACAAAACTGCATCTCGGTTAGGCGAATCTCGCATATTGCTTACAGTATGTCTTCGAATTTTTCTCTACAAGACAGCAAATCGAAAACAGAACTGTGGATCGAACTAAAATTCTTCCGGGAAACGTGTTTTACTTGCGTAGATTCTGTCTGGTAATACATATTGGATCACATTCAGATCGTATTTCATCGTTTATTAAGTTCTGCATACTTTCCAGCACAATGCGTGCCATCACTTTTTAGAGGATTTTCGTCAAGGTTTTACCCCTGGAGCAGATTCATTGGCCGACTAGGTCTCCTTTTTTTTATCGATTTCCGCTTAAAGCTTTCCATACCATGTTCTGCATTTGAGTTGTCATACCGCGACGAAAGGCGGTCTCTGTATCTATGAAGGAGCTGAGCTTTATGCGATTGTGGTGCTAAACCATTGCCCTTTCCATGATGGTGCAGTAACCATGAATGTTGCGTGCATATTTGTTCCTCGGTGTACCTGCTAGGTGACTATAGGGATTAGAAAATTTATAAGCCATGACCAATTAATTGATTAATTAAACGTTATTTATATTCCGTTTTCTCTGAGTTTAGAAGGCTTATCTAAAAAACTCATCTTAACCTCTCTCCCATAGCTCTGCCTACGCACAAAGCTAGTAGATCATATACGAAGCCTAGATACAGAAACAAGAATTTCAAAGGGAACGTTCGCATATGGTCTAACTTAGAGCGATCGTATTATGCCGAGCCCGCTACCAGCGAGAGGAAGACAATAAAGTTGTACTCTGTAGAATTGGCTGTATGAATTTCAAGCTGTTTTAAGGCCGGATTTAGAATGTCTTCATGGAGGTGTAAACCACTTTAGTTTATATAGTATCAGAGGATACGTTTTACCGCTGCACGGGCCAAAAAAGCATTAGGAACCCATACCAGATATGTGATAATCAAGCTAACTAATGAATCTTATAAATATTTCCTTCAAAAATGCCTTCATAGTTTCTAACCGAATGCAGATGTCTCAGCAATGTCTGGATACAAAGTTCTGAGTTCTATCTAAGTACAGATAACTACAGCGTTTTAAGAAAACAGATATGCTATTTTCCATAGGAGCTACGATAACGATCTCTTTCAACGTTCTCAGTTGTGAGGATATTGAATAATTTATTGAGTTAAGAAAAGATTTTTAATTCGGTACCATGTTGTACACTGTATGCAATATGACCTAGAATTCATCTCAATAAAAGAGCACATATGTACGAATTTTAGCTATTCGTCGGTATTGTATTTCGGTTATCCGTATCTTTAGTTTGCTAATATAGAACCGAAGGCCGCTAGTGTCTGCTAGCCTACATAGTTATTTCAATATTATATAATGCGATTGGCAAATTTGGCTTTTTAGGAAATCAAAACGTCTAGCGACATCCTATTTATGATTGCCCCGTAAAAATAAAGTGTTAACGAGCTATTTTGCGATTTGAACGCTTAGTAAATTGATAGTTTCAGATTTGCATTGCGAGTACATGAGATTCACGAAGCTAAAAAGCAAGGTCTGGTATTATAATTCTTAAATTACTAAGTCTGGTTCCGTAAAAAAAAAGTCCAAATGCTTATTATACTACGCCGAAATCATACGCAACATATCCAGCCCAACACAGCTATCGAGCGTTCAGTTGAAACATAAAAAGATAATGTATGTTTTTCCTAATGCCAGCTAACAACCACATAGTTTCTCTGTAGCTGACTGCGGCTAGATTATAATGTTGACACTCTCAAATTCGAATTTGATGAGCGGATAGGAACTGTACAAAGTTACTTATAGCGCAAAAAATGTAGACAGCACAACAAATACCGAAGTTATAACAGGGTACGAGATGCTGGCCCGTTCGTCAGTCTTCTCGATAGAGGGTAGCTGACGGAGCTACGAATACAGAATTCAACCTTCTGTTACCTAGGATTATTTAGCATAGCGGTGATCAGGTGGACAAACAGACGAGTACTGCATGCAAGACTCATGTAAGCTAATCTCACACGCATAATTTCTGTTCTCCGGTGGTAAGGTTGCAGAAAAAGGCATTAGAGATAATATGAAGTACTTCAACCAAATGGTTTGTAATAATAATCTGGGTCAATTTTGCATCACTCCTACTATTTCGGGTAGTTTTACTACAATCTCTTCCCTAATCTAAATGTTATATAGTTTATGCTTACAAAAATGTTACGAAAATGTTAAAACTTAAACGCCAATAGAGGCCACATAAGGGCTACTCGCAAATGCTGCTTTTGTTTGGCTTATCTGTCGAGTTCTATATCGTATTAGTTACTGTGATTCAGTAAGATAACGTGAATGTGCGTGGGCAGGTTACCCTTTCCCAGTTGCGGGGCGAGGGAGTTGGCCAGTGTTCTGCTTCGATCGTAAACATTTAGGCTTTGAACGATCTAGCGGTGTCTGTTAAAGTGTAACGATAACAGCTAAAATTAAAGGTTCGTAATTGCCTAAATAAACAATTTAAATTTTACTATGTAGTAATGAATAATTAGTTACGTCTAGTCGAACGTCTCTGTAGCATTTTAGGTTCTTGGAGTATTCGATGCTAGTTTTAACGACGCGGGTATAATTTTCGCCGTGGACAAGTCAAGTAGTGGGTAGTGTACTCAAATTTGAGCGGAAGCATCTACGAACAAAAACCGGCCATTTAGTTAGGAGAGTTAGTGTACGATGAGAAATTGTCATTATAAGGCGACGCCGACACGTCACTTGTATAAACGATTTGATATTCTTTGCTAGCAAAAAATATAGCTAAGACCTAAGTTCACAACACGAACTTTATCTAATAACACTTGAAGTGCAGTACTAAGTAAAAGTGGCCTCTCTATTCCCATATTCATGCCGAAAAAGAAAAAACAAATGAAGCTAGTTTCGGATTGCTTATTACAATGATAACTAAAATCTATGATGGTTGCGATACGAATGATGCTTAAGACATTTTAATTTTACTATTACCATTATTAATGTATATTACAACGTTTTGAAAAAAAAACACCAGTCAGTTTCAGGCCAAATAAGCACTAGCTGATATAGCACTTTCATTTATCCTGTGGCCAGACTTAAATTACTTAATATAATAATTCTACAGGTGAGAAGGTTGCTGTTTTCGGTACGTGACGAAAACTTCTTTCCGTGAGATAAAAACAGCTTCTTCCTCATGGTATCCAGCCTTACCCGTACAAGATAAGGGGAATCCACCAATACACGATTTGTGTGCACAACGAACCAGCCCGCCCACACCTCGGCAAATTTATTGCGGTCGTTAGATTATAGGTGTTACCGGAAAGCATTTTTCAGGTGGGTTTTAAGATCGTACGAAGTTTGGACATAAAACATTAACGAGAATATAACTTTTTGCAAGTAGTGTGACGCCTACAGACCGTGGTCGAATATCGGCAATTCCGATACCGATATTGTTGTTTAAACTGTATTGACGCTTCCACCCGTCAGACTGAAACTACCGAGTGTTTCTCTTGCAAAATTTAACCTATTAGATTTTTGGGAATATAGAAGCTAAGTCGCTAGAGTACCAAAACGGATGTTGGACAAAACAAATACATCTGTTTCTATCGCTCAGTAAACAGATAAATGCCTTTGCCCTACTAGAGTTAACAGTCGTCATGTCGAAGAGTGCAGTGTACTGTAATTTTTTTTAAAAGGTAGATATTTCTAAGTCAAGCTAATTATCTATTTCCTTAGTCTGCAGACGGCACAGTAAGGTAACGGTTACGTCGATATTAACTTTAAGAGAATTTCTTATACGTCGCAGCAGAAAGGGATTCAATAGCCCCGTAATTTAGTTTCAATGCAATAGAACGTCTTTTGAAAGCTGTGGGCAGACCCTGGCAGTTCAGCAAAATTTTACTGCTGGTTGTATATACTATCCTTATCTAAATGCACTATAGCTTAGTATGAGACGCGAAACGTATGTTCAGCGGAATAATTATTAATTATGCTCGAAACGATAGTATTTTTTTTTTTTTTTTTCGAAGCTCGGTGTGTACGTGTGCAGTCAGTCAGTCATGCGTGAAAGGTTGTTTGCGACAAATTGTAGGCCGCTATGAATCAACTGCAATGCCGACGGGCTTTCTAGCTTCTTGCTCTCGGGTTGGGCAGTAAAACATGTTTAGACATGAAAGAATCCCAGACCCTAGCAGGTTATTTCACAAGCGACACTTAACAGAGGAACAGTGCGCGCAAGACTTTCGACGTATTGTAATTGCCAATGAATCCGGAAGCCAATAAAATATTTCTAGATTAGATGTTTTTTTCGCATGGCTTTGGTAAAAACTGAATGGCAATTTAATTGAAGAGTAATACTGAAATGATGGCGTTTGGGCTCGTTGGGGCTCGACACCGTTCGTCTCCTGCGGTACACGTGTGGTTGGAAAAGCTTGACCTCAAAGCTGCTTTGCATGTTGATGAACGTTCTGTATGAGGGGTAAACATTTCCTCGCGTGCACTATTGAACAAACATTAAATGAAAAAGCGGTGAGCAATGAGTGTCTGATAATTAACCGCATGGTACATACGAACTATATAACACCGTATTTTTGCCGTGCGTATGTTGAGATAGCTAAGAGACACTTTTATGATAAATTTCATGCTGAACTCCACGCAGTGTTCTCGAAAAGTACCTGTTGCTAGCATGTCAGAAAGAGACAAATAGAAACTAGTAATAGACGTTATATAAGCGTTGATGACAATTTTTGTTAAATATCAATGAACTGGAGATTATATTGGGGTTCTAAGGATGAAAACGTATAGGCAAATCATACATGTTTTTATTGAGACAATTGATACGTAACGATGTTCAACCCCGTTACTACGTCACCGTTGTGACTAACCGGGCGCTTTATTGCATTTAGCTGTAACGGTCTTAATAAAATAAAGCAACTGTACAATCATCTAAGTGACTCTTAACGTTCCATAATCTGGAAAGGCAGAATATCTGACGAGACCTTATTACACAGCATTATAGGTCGTTATTCGATTTAATATATAGTTATACAGTTTAAAGATTTTCATAGTGTTTGATTTCCTATGCTTCCATAATCTGCGTAAATAGGTTTCTTTGCCAAAGCTACTTATAAATTATGGTGACATATTCTGGTCATGGCCCAATCATGTTGTTCTTATGGAGGTAGTATATTGGTTTCGGAAATGTAGTGAAAAGCCATGACTAGGCGTCAGTCCTTTGTCATCCTAGAAGCTTTTTCCTTAATTTCAGAATGAAAGTGTTACAGAACGTTGCCAAACAATTGCGCCAAACCGCTGGCGTATCTTCTTCAATTAAGAGGGACTCTCGGCATGGATCAAAACTCACCTCGGCGCAAGTGTTTGCCCGAGAGGATAAATATGGCGCACATAATTATCACCCGATTCCTGTGGCCATCGATCGTGCAAAGGGTATGCCAATAGTTCAAATGATATTTATTACCACGTTTGTTATTAAAAATGCCCTGTATATTTTACTGTAGACCTTTCAATTGTGCGAGTTTCTCTTTCGCCCCCGCTAATAGAATATCGTTTGCTATATCAGTCCGATGCTACACACGTGTATAGTTACTTGCACCCTTTCCCGACACGGAACAAATTGTTTTTCTTTTTAAGTAAAACATTGATTTATACAATTGTAGCTATAATGAACACTTAGCGACGAAAATACGCCATTATTTTTTGTTGCAGGTATCCACGTTTGGGATGTGGAGGGCAAGCGCTACTTCGACTTCTTGTCAGCCTATTCTGCCGTAAATCAGGTAGGTACTATTGTTGTCTGTTATAGGGTACCCAAAAAAATGTGCCTGGGAAGTGGTGCCAGGCATTCGTCTTACTGTGATTCTGCTTTTTGGATCTTATCAATAATGCCATGTGCGTTTTAACAGGGCCATTGTCATCCGAAAATTGTCAGGACACTCCAGCAGCAGGCCGAGAAGCTGACATTAACGTCGCGTGCGTTCTACAACTCTGTCCTCGGGGAATTCGAAGAGTATGTTACAAAACTGTTTGGCTTTGACAAGCTTCTACCAATGAACACAGGTGAATCCGACTTCTGAAGTGGTCTTCGAACGGATTTTGGTGAACCGCCTAAACGTGTTTTGAGCAAAGACACATTACAGAAACAATGTGCTATATTATTGGTCTGAATTATTTTCGCCGTTACTGTGTACGGCGTATTCAATGCTGCGACGGTATTCTTCATAAACAGATTTTTAATTCATCCAACTTTGTATATCATGTGTGCAATTGCTTTGTACTTACAGGAGTTGAGGCAGATGAGACCGCTTGCAAATTGGCACGTCGCTGGGGATATGACGTGAAGGGAATCCCCGAGAACAAAGCAAAAATTGTGTTCTGCAATGAGAACTTCTGGGGTCGAACGTTGGCGGCCATTTCCGCCTCGACGGACCCTTCTTCGTACAAAGGCTTTGGCCCATTTATGCCGGGTTTTGAACTTATCCCTTATAATGATCTAAAGGCTCTCGAGACAAAACTTCAAGATCCACATGTATGTGGTTTTATGGTTGAGCCAATTCAGGGCGAGGCAGGTGTTGTGGTACCTGATGAAGGTTTTCTCCGGGGTGTGCGGGAACTGTGCACGAAATACAATGTACTTTGGATCGCCGACGAAATCCAGACAGGACTTGGACGATGCGGAAAGTAGGTATTATTTATAAATAAAAATTAATTTCTTAAGTCTGAAAGTAGATTAAATTAAGTTTATTTAAGAGCATTGTCACACATTTGATTTAGAACGATTTCAGAAGATTCTTATCAAATTGAAGTCGAGACTAATCAAGAAGTATATTTCAGACTACTTTGCGTTGATCATGAATCTGTTAAGCCTGATATACTTACACTAGGAAAGGCTCTTTCAGGTAAGTGTAATAGAGTTGGATTATTTAATGATTCATTCCACGATTTCGGAGGCGCTTAAGCCTTTAGGCGGAAAATTTTAAGCAGTAAATTGCGAAATATCGCCTTCTTACTTTTTAACGAGTTTGAAAAATATTGTTCCATACACAGTTCTACCACTGAAGGTCGAATAGGTGAACTAAATCTTCAGTGTGAATGACAAAATCTTTCAGGTTTCCTACCAATAGTCAGCGGTTGCAGGAGTACACGATCCTGTTTAGATTCGTAGAAGAACTGCAGAGTACAAAAGCAAACTGTTGCTATTCGTTTCAGGTGGTGTTTACCCCGTATCAGCAGCACTTTGCAACGACGACATTATGATGGTGATTAAGCCGGGGCAACACGGTTCAACGTACGGTGGCAACCCTCTTGCTGCAAAGGTGGGTATCGCCGCTCTTGAAGTTCTGCTTGAAGAGAACCTCATTGAAAACTCGGAAAAAATGGGAAACATTTTTCGAAAGGAGATGCAGAAACTACTGCCAGGTGTCGTTAAAGCGGTACGAGGCAAGGGGCTCTTCAATGCCATTGTCATTGACTCTCGTGAGTATGGTCTAATCATGGTTTTGCAAATCTTCTTTATAATTGTACGAAATGGCTACCAAATATGCGGCTTCTTCGAACGCGTGCAGTTAAGATTAGCTTTCTTTTTTCGTTACTGCTTTTTTTTCTAAGAAAGATATCTCGGCGTGACTTTATGGAATAAGATACTGTAACTTTTAGATTTAGATAACCGTTGATTTAGAACCTCTCTTTTTACCTTTCACCACATATTTTTGGTAGTGATAACACGGCCTTTTCTTACGTTTGCAGAATATGACGCTTGGGATCTATGCCTTCGCTTTAAAGAAAACGGTCTTCTGGCTAAACCTACCCATGGGGACAAAATTCGTCTTGCGCCACCATTAACCATTAGCGAAGCGGAGCTCCTAGAATGCATTGACATTATTGCCCGAACCATATCAACACTTAAATAGTTTGATACCTGCTGGCTGTTGATCAAGCGATCATTCCAGTTGTGTCGCACAACTATTCTACTTTGTATAGCTTATAAACAGTTTCACAGTGTGTATTTGTGGGAAAGACATGTTGAGCATCAAATGCGAACTAGTTTAATCCTATTAAGTATATAACAACAAGAGCCAATGGTTATATCTAGAAGTTCTCAGATGGTATATGCGAATGTGTGCATTCTGTTAACGTAAAAAACCTTTTCATAGATAATTTAATAATAACGTAGATACCTTTTGATAAGAACAGCTTACCCAAGTATTTGTTGATTTATTGGAACACAGCCCGAGGGCATGTAAGGCAGGGAGGATTTTAATGTAACTAAATAAAGACGTTAATTTTGATTATAATAGTGCATTCTGTTATGAACAATGTGTAACCATAGGTCAACTGATCGGTAGATGTGGGTTTATTTGCTTAGTTTAGTTATTAACTTGAATTATTCAGTGGAGGATGCCCGAAACGTAGACGCTTGCATTCATATTCCACTAAAAACAAAATTTAGATTCGAATTATAATAAACTTAGTTTTGCTAGCGTCCACAGAATGCTTTTTCTGCTATTATTTATTTATATTTAGTCTGAATTACGAACTATTCGAGAAAGTATTGAAAAACTAACGCTAAAGGTTCGTTTCAGTTCGTATTCGGTGAGCTCTTTTCGAAATTCTGATGATTAATGAAGCAATTCATTTGACACTAAATGTAAAATAATGATTTTCGTTTTTCGATATACGTTTCGAAATACGAAAGTCGTCAACGACAGATACGAGTCTGGTCTTTCAAACTAACAAATTTCGTATAATTGCATAAATGTTGTCACCAAAGTATACTCGTACATTCAAGCGTCCTTTTTGGCAATTCGATCAAAAAGCACGAAATTCGATATAACGCTATTGATCGCGACTATTTATCTTTTACAATTTGGAGCTAGACCGTCTACTGAGACAAAATGCATTGCTTGGAAAGGGAACTGTACTCCACAAATAACGTAATAATCATTAATAAAGTAAAAAAAAAAAAAAAAAAAGATGCTACGATTAAGCACATCTTTCCTAATGATTAAAACAGATTTCAAAATGCGTGATGCTGAAGACTCAAGTACATTTTTTAATGTCTGGAAAAAGTCCACTTGGGTCCAGTTGGTAAAGCTTTATATTTTTTAAATTTAGCGCGCTGAATATTCATTACTTCCAAGATAGGTTTCTGTCTGAAAAATCTTCTTGCAGCATCTCAATACAATACCGTTCAATAAATCTAAAAAGGAAGCTTCTACATAGTCACAACTAGGACTAGCAGCATTGGCCTTGTATTAAAAATTTCCTAGAAACAACGAAGGAAGATCCCAAAATGAGTTTGATTTTGTTTTACAATAATGCTGTTTTATGACGAAAGGTCAAGACGCGTATGAAGATTATATTTGAAGTAACTAAGCCTGCTGCTGGTAGTACCAATATATAAGATCTTGAGAAGTTTAGCATACCACCCTACGAGGACGTAATTCGTATTGTTTTGATGTATTGGCTATACCCCCTTCTATCTATTGCTCAGTAATTACATTCGGCAGGAAGTAAGACACGTGCTGCTCTGACGCAGTAATTCTATGGGCCTATGCAATAAGGCAAAAATCCTGATTCGTTTTAGAGTGTCACAAGATGCGTGCGAAGTACGTCTACCCTCGTCTATAGTATCCTCTTATTTACTCACCAACGCTGTCGGTTTCTGGTAACAACGACTCCTTTTATCTGTATTGGCATTTATTTATTAGCATGTACGCCTACTTTAAGGATCCGGAAAAGGAGCCTGTGCTAGTTACTTGAGTTGGAAATGCCGTTGTAGAGTACAACGTCGTATTCTTTAACGAGTTTAATATATGCGCTCTTGTTACACGTATTGATAAACTTTCTTACTGAGGAAATAGAGCCAAATGAAATCTGCTGCAAAGACCCAACGGGCTTAAAGTATATAGCTTCTTTCAATTTTAATGGTACTGTTTTTAATGCTAGGTTAGGTAGATTTTGTTTTGGATTTCATGTAACGTATCTCCTGTTAATAAAACGTTGTTAACGGAAATGCCAACCAATTTGAATTTGGATAGGAGCTTGTCTCGTCATTGATGATGGAGGAAGAGACATTTAGTTTCGGATATTGAGTTTACGACATTTAGATAGCAAAAGAAAAAATCATGCAACTGTGAAGAACTTGGAACGCTACGTGCCCGACTACATGGGGTTTGGCTTTGTAAGTAAAGCACTTCTGTTTTACACTTGTTTACTTATACACTTGTTTAATCGGCGCTAAAATTGCTTACCTTCAGTATCTTTTCTTTACTCATCGCTTGTATGTATCTGGGTAAGTACCTATTTCGAAAGTACCGGACAGAAGAACAGTCTTATTAATCAAGAATGCCGCGTGGTCAGCGATAGTACTAGAGATAGCCCTGGCAGTTCGAACGACTAAATGGTCATAGTTCGCGCGTTCCTATTGGCTACTTTCGTATTTAATAGACATATGTTAGATTCAATTAAGATTTGTAAACTTGTTGCATCTAACCAATCGCTAGGGGTCCCTTAAATGTTTATTTAGAATAGCCAACACCTTTGCTACATAGTATTTCAACGGCTGATATGGAGACAAAATTTCTGTGTATGTGCGTTATGGCCAGTTTTCTTAGTCGCCCTTAACCCTGGAAATATGCCGCTAAAAGGTGACTCTGATATTTTGTCAAATATTGTCATGCTAGGTAATCTAAGTAAATTGAAGGAAATCGGTTCAGCGGAAGTCGAGGAGCTTTAACCTACTCTTACCAGAGGGACAACAGTGCGATGGGTTACCTTGAAATTTTTTAGATTGTGGGTACGGTGCTTCCATCAGAGAGAAACACCATTGCCCTTTATAGCTGGGATTTGACAAGAGACAAGCGAATTAGAAGAAAGAAAAGCATACCGGGATTAGTTATCTGACCGATGCTAACTGCCCTTGTGCAGAGAAAACAATGAGTACTTTAAGAACCCAAGCTTTGTGATTCTTGAGCTGAAAAATTGATTTTATTCCCTGTCCACCTCTGGTTACCGATTTTGATAGAATTGGTATTACACCCTGAACATGCTCTTAGCCGGCCGGATTGGTCTTTTGTTACAAATAATCCATTCCAGCAACGTCGGAGACTGAGGGTGGCCGCAGTTCTAACATTGTTGGGCATGGCTTGGCTCCGACTAGGCTTAGTTTTTGTATTCGGTATACTTCCCCGTACGTTAAAGTGTAGTGTATTTTTAGAATTTGTAATGAGAACGAATCGAGAAGAAAATGACAAGGCAGTTTCGAGGGATCACACGCACAGGTTGTATGGGGGTCGCTGTGAAACTGTTCAGAGTAAAAAGTCCACTTAATGCATTCCCGGATCAAACACTGTCATTGACTGAATTTTGATTATCGACAGATTTGTTCTGAAATGGAATCACTTACCATGTTAAGATTATTTTCGGACCGCCGAGAACTGTCGCTTCGCATCAGACAAATGAATCGAAGGAACGAAAAGCGTCCAATCAAAATATACAGGAAAATAAAAATCACACAATTTGGCCTATAAAGTAGTTTAGAGCCCACTAACTTATTATCGTGATAAAGAACGCGAAACAGATTAGATTTATTATTAAAATTACTAATAATAAAGAAAATTCAGGTTTGAAGCGCGCTTTCATCTTGCATTACACTCTGTGGATTGAAAAATGTTCTACCTCATTTTATATATATATATATATATGAGAGAGAGAGAGAGAGAGAGTAATAACATAATTACGAAAGTACAACCTAGTCTTGGAAAAATTGCGAGGTGACCAGTTATTAGGCTAGGCACCGTAACTTTCCCTTTTTGCGAGGGCTGACCCTTAATGAGTGATTAACTTGTACTTAATCTGCTGACAAGTACAGGAACACTAGAGAAAAAATTGAGATTGATCAATTCTCATGGCAAATACTAAATAAAATTTAATTAAATTAAGGTAATTAAATAGATAAGCAAGAATGCCTTACGTTTCTCATTTTGTTTTCTTATGAAATTAAACGCTAGTTCAGCACTTTTCGGCAGTATCAACATCGCTTAATATGAACCTCCTTAAATGGGTTTGACGCAACTGATAGATATTCACTGAAACTGGTCAGTGTTACTAGTGACAAACTGCTGTGCGCAATCGTAGCTTACCAAAATGGCTCAGTTTCTTGTGAATTTTTACCTTGTTACATTGTTGATAATCGCCGACGCTGTTTATGAATCAGACGCACGTCTCCTAAATCGATGTTTGCCTAGTTAGCGGGAAGTTCATTCTTTTCCATGCACTACAATGAGCAAAAGTCCAACAAAATCTACCGACAAACTAATCTCAAAAATTTTCGAGCGGACGCGTAAATGCATGATTGTAAATTACGATCGTTGTTATAATTAGCTCTTAGAGCGAATACTCTCTCGTATTCTCGGAACGTACTTTCCGAGAGCAGACCGAAAACAGGGCAAACATTATTCAGGTTGAAATTTAATTAAATCGTTGCCTACAGTATGGCATTTTTGGTAGATGCGCACGTTTGGTCCTGCCACGTCAATGTAATGAAAGAAACATTTTGGCCTTTTGATTTGGAACATTTTGGTTCATCCAGCAAAGCCATCGAGTACTCTAGCTTAACGTTGGGCAAGTGTAATGTTCGAGAGGATTCGACTCGCCCGTTGAGCATGGATTTACGCCGATAGCTCCTGTCGCTAAATTTCATACTTACCATTTTTCCATATAGCGTATGCACCCGCAATAAATTTCCTTTGCATTTAGTACAACAATAGGATCGACGTTACTTCGTTTCAGCCTGCTGGGCTTTCCAGGCAAAGTATATTCAGGCCACGTCTTGTCTAGGTAATTTGGCTTCGGCGTTCGCTCAACTATCCTTCAGGGAGGCCACCGTCCATTTTGTCTTAATTGGGGAATTAATTTTAAAATGCCGCAACGTCGCTACTGAACTCAGAACCTGGTGCGGCCGATTTCACAATGGCAAAAATTAGAGACAGCTTTCTGTCTTTTTGGCAGCAGATCATCAGGTTAAAAACAGAAAATTTCTTAAAATATCAGTTTCAGCTAAATCATTTCAAATCGGTAGCCTTACAGTCACATGCGTTTACCATCAAGCTTGAAAAAAATAATGTAAATCGAAGTGCATCGTAATGGAACGACGCTGTAATAATTAAAGAATCGTAACTTCTGCTAGCTCTCATTAAATGGCTATATAAGCATATGCGCGATGCATTTCCTGCGGGCCATAACCCGGAACACCTGTTCAATTTTCGTAAAATGCCCAGTTGTTGCTTAA